TTTAAATAATTTAGTTCTTCATCAAGGGCTAGTTTGGAGGAGCAAACTTGAAGAGCACGAAAAACATAGGAATAAAATGAAGCTAACTTTTGTTTAGTCGGATGACATGATTTAAAGTGTGGTGGAAAAGGCAAACCGATGAAGGTTTACGGTAAACTGTAGTACTGAAGTTGGATGTGTTACGTGTGACCAGAATGTCGAGAAAACGGAAGAGAATTGCAAGTCTCAAGTTCAAAAGTGAACTGAATAGCAGGATCAATAGAATTCATTGTTGAAAGAACTCTTATTTAAATCATCTTTATTACCTTCAAAACAGGGTAAAAGTATCGTCTACGTAGCGGAACCATGCCGGGAAGTTTAAAGTTTCAAACAATTTTGATTCATAATAATGCATGTAGATATCAGCCAGGGGGACTGAGGGGGCTTCCCATGGCTAATCCCTCAGTTTGCTTGTAATATTTATTTTGGAAAACAAAATGTGTTTGTTTCAAACAGAGTTGAGTGAGAGAAATTAGCTCATCAATTTCGATGCAAGAGAAATGAAATTCGCGAAGAAGTCTGGTTTCTAGACATCTTAATGCACCCTCCACTGGAACATTGGTGAATAATGATTTTACATCAAAAGAAACCATGAGTAAATTACGAGGAGAAAATGTTTTTAACCTTTTTTACAAACTCTATTGAATTTTTTATGGTGTAAAATGTTATTGTCTAATAGAGTGGAAAATCTAGAAACTAAATATTTAGCTAATGGATACGAGGCAGTAGTACCTAAATTTGATACAATAGGGCGGAAAGGAATACCACTTTTATGAATTTTGGGAAGAGCATATAATCTGGCACAATTCGCAACAGATGGGATAAGCGAATGTTTTTAAGTTGCTTGAAATGATTTGCGAAGATTTGATCGCAGTTTTTATTTTGGATAAGTCCGAAGGTGAAGGATCTTTAGGGATCGGATTATATGGTCCTTCGTTTAAGAGTTTAGTGACACCATCGATGTAAGTGTTCTTATCCATGACGACTATCTGGCCACCTTTGTCGGCCTTTGAAATGACAATATCCGGGTTAGAATGAATCTCGCGCACTGTAGCTCTTTCTCTCGCAGTTAGATTTGGTTTCAAAGGTTTATTATTGAATTTCACATTATGAGCGATAAGATGCCTAATCATTTCTTTCTGTGAATCTGAAACTTTACTGAACATGAAAGCTTTTTCGATAGGAGCCAAAATCTTTGGAATCGAGGGTTTACAGGTTTGTGAGAAGTTAAAATTATATTTTAGAATTCTCTCTTGTTCTTCTGAAAGACTAACATTAGAAATATTAACTATTGGCTTGATGTTTACAATGGGAAGATTTTTTTGAACTACTTGGACTGGAAGACTGTAAAAAGAAGTTTTTCGAATTTAACTGCAAGGGTGTTTTTATGACGGTTAAGTGCATTCTCCGTTCTAGACCAAGACTTTGTTCAAGGGCAGTGAATTTTGGATATGTTTTAGCGAGTTCCAGATGAAGCTTATAGAGTTCATGTTCAATTTTGGACAATTGTTGACGTGTATCCCTTATCACGGACCGAAGTAAGGCAAGTTTGCAAATTTAACAGAATTCTTGAAACGCGACTCGAAGGTTTTTGATTAGATTTGATTTGAATAAAATTGGGGGATCAATTTTTTACATTTACATTTAAGTAAAAAGTCAAGATGATTCAGGAATTTTTGCCGTTTCAGGCGTAATTTAGTGAACGATTAACGGATGAAGGCATGATAAACAATGCAGAAAATCAAACTAAATTAACTGAGCAATAATAAAGTACACACAAAATAGCAGAAAAATCCCTCACTGAAACGAATAGAAAACAAAATGTTTGTAAGCAAAATTCATGAAATCAGGCAAGCAAAGCACAATATCCAAATGTACAAAACATAAACATAACTTGAAAATTGCAAAAATGTACTCACCGAATTTCCTACAATCACAAAATGGCGGCCACACCACGTGCAAAAAAGAAAGCAAAATGTAAGCCTGTTTGGGGTTTCTATAATTAAGACACAATAACACGCCGAATAAATACTAATTCAGAATTCAAACAACAAAAATCAGCGTTAATTTACAAAATTTTCACAGGACTAGTTTCGATGGTTTTACCGAACCATCATATTCAGCTGCAAAACCGCAAATGAACAAGATAGGAAATAATGTTTAGATGAGATAAGAAAGCCTGCACCAGTGGAGGGTGCATTAAGATGTCTAGAAACCAGACTTCGCGAATTTCATTTCTCTTGCATCGAAATTGATGAGCTAATTTCTCTCACTCAACTCTGTTTGAAACAAACACAATTTGTTTTCCAAAATAAATATTACAAGCAAACTGAGGGATTAGCCATGGGAAGCCCCCTCAGTCCCATCCTGGCTGATATCTACATGCATTATTATGAATCAAAATTGTTTGAAACTTTAAACTTCCCGGCATGGTTCCGCTACGTAGACGATACTTTTACCCTGTTTGAAGGTAATAAAGATGATTTAAATAGAGTTCTTTCAACAATGAATTCTATTGATCCTGCTATTCAGTTCACTTTTGAACTTGAGACTTGCAATTCTCTTCCGTTTCTCGACATTCTGGTCACACGTAACACATCCAACTTCAGTACTACAGTTTACCGTAAACCTTCATAGGTTTGCCTTCCACCACACTTTAAATCATGTCATCCGACTAAACAAAAGTTAGCTTCATTTTATTCCTATGTTTTCCGTGCTCTTCAAGTTTGCTCCTCCAAACTAGCCCTTGATGAAGAACTAAATTATTTAAAAGCAATAGCTATTGACAGGGGCTTTTCACCCAACATTATTAATCAAGCAGTTAAAAAATTCTCATCTCAACACACTAAAAGCCACACTCTTATTTTAGGAGATTATAAAAATTCTGTTGTCATTCCCTTCTTTCCATCAATTAGCTATAAAGTTGCACATATTTTGCAGAAATTTAACTTTTGGGTTGTTTACTCTCCCATCAATAAAATTCCAACTTCTATACTCAAGGACCCCATTCCGGATATGAATTCCTGGGGTATTTATAGGATTCCTTGCCAGTGCGGTTTAATTTACATTGACCAAACTAAGAGAGCCTTAAAATTTCGCGTCAAAGAACATGAGGCATATGTTAGAAAAAAGGAAACACAGAAGTCTTCTGTTGCTGAACATTGTTGGTCCGAAAATCACACTTTCAATTTTTCTGCTGCCAAAATTATTCAAAAAACATCTTCCATTGGAGAACTGGATTTTTCTAGAGGCATTTCATGTTCATAAAAATCTTTCTGTTCTAGTTAACGATCCTAATTCCAATCCAAATTTGCCTTTGGCTTTTAGAGAAATTATGTTTTAGTTCTGGTTTCGCCAACAGCTGGCGCCACTTGCTTATTCTTGTCCAGGCTTTCTTATCTCATCTAAACATTATTTTCCTATCTTGTTCATTTGCGGTTTTGCAGCTGAAGATGATGGTTCGGTAAAACCATCGAAACTAGTCCTGTGAAAATTTTGTAAATTAACGCTGATTTTTGTTGTTTGAATTCTGAATTAGTAACTCTAAATTAATAATCAAATTATTCTGGGATATGAGTACATGCAGAAAAATGCATAAATACTGTGATACATAGATACTGGAGTACATAATGACTCTACAAAAGATAACTAACTGACGCATTTTAAAGTAACTATATTTAACTAAATTTGTTTTAAAGGAAACGTATTTTAAAGGCAACTAAAGGTGCTTTAAAAGAGACCGATCTTTAACTGAACCCATTTTAACCCATTGGAGGCCACGAGCGAACTCAGCTCGCCTTCCAATCATGCATCGCAATGGGCGCAAACAAACATTCTTGCATTACAAATTTACAACATTCGTAAACACAGAGCTTCACATACTGTAAAGATATGCAGCAGGGTAGTAGGGCTAATTGTTCAGTAAAAAGGTTACGTTAGGTTATTTAATTACGGCAAAGCCTCGAGGACTATCTGTATAAGGGGAGGGATGCCGTTGTGGAGGAATTTCTAAGGAAAACTGGCTCGTATACACGTTACACATGAGGAAAACCACGAAAACGCCCATGCAGCCAGCCCGTTCGCCGGATTCGAACCTCAGACCGAACTACCAGTGTTCAGCGACTTTACCGCTCGGCCGCTGATAGGCGTTGAGTAAAAAGGAAAATCATTTAAAAATTTTCTTTCGCGAGAATGCGTGGTCTTTTTATTTAGCATGAATACTACTTTTTCTTAATGAACTCTTTGTCCTGCAGGTTTTTTATTTTTCAACGGGATAGATCTTGGATATTTTTTATTCTGCAATAATTAAATCAATGGTTTGCAATCTGCAATGGATAAATGATTAATATCTTTTTAATTTAGCTGGTTAAACGATTCTGCAGTCATTTAACCAACCAGTGGTCAAACTAAAACAACTGTAAATTTTCTATCAAAGGAACATGAGGCATATATTAAGGGGAAAAAAACAAATAAATCTTCTGTTATTCAACACTGTTGGTCAAAGAATCATCATTTCCATTTTTCTGCCGCCAAAATTATTAAAAAACATCTTCCATTCTCGAATCAGATTTTCTAAAGGCCTTTTACGTTCATAAAAACTTCCAGTTCTAATTAATGATCCACATTCAAATCAGTTTACCCTCAGTTTTAAAAAGTAGTAGCTTTCATTTTTTATTAACATGTGGAGCTGATAGCTTAATCTCGAAGCGCCAGTAGCTTTCTCGAAGTTTCGAGTGTATTTATATCGCATGAGCATAAGCTTCTTCTTAATTGTTTTCACGCCTAAAACTGATGTAGAGGGTTCTGTATTCAAACTCCAAGACTGGTTCGTCAAATTTATAGACAATATGCTGATTCTTGTTGTTTTAGTATCGCAAATATTTGACCATTTGTTTTGAAGAGATTTAATATAAATTTAGTGTTTAGTACCCTTGGGATGATAGGAAAAGAAATGCACTTACAATTTGGCTTTTGCACTTGTTTTTCATGTAAAAGCTTTTTACACTCCCTTTCTTGTCAGATGGGTATAAGACAGGGCTCGGCAACCTATGACCCGCGGATCACCGAATGACCCATTTCATAATTTCATATGACCCACTTGAGAGCTCCTATAATAAATATATAAAAATAAATTATAGAACATAATCATGGAACGAGCACTTGAAGAATACATAAAAAGAAAACTGAAAATAAATAATAGCAATAACATTTTTGCTTGATTACATAGCTGCAGTAACGAACATGTAGTTTTAAAAACAGTAAGTTAGTTTTAAAGAGAAATCGATAAACTTGGCAATGTCGGTCCGTAAATTCAAAAAAAAAAAAAAAAAAAAAAAAAAAAAAAAAAAAGGCTTCCCTATTTTTTCCGCATTCGATTCAACTTATAAATGCCAACAAATATTTTCACTCAGGAAATTTATTTTAGATAAAAGCAGAATCAGCTTAAATACCGAAAATTCAGATGTTTGTATTTGTCTTAACTAATTTTAAACAAGACCTGACTAAACTGACGTCAGAAATTCAGCATCAGCGAAGCTATTGATGTCGAAGAGGAAAATAAAGTACTCTCAATTCTATAATAACTATAATTATAATTTAAAACATTTTTATGTTTTAAATACAAAACGTATTGTAATTGTTAGTCCAAAGGGATTTGAGTCCCGAAAGCTATTACTTTTGTTTTGGCATTTTGCGTCAGAATAGTATAAATGTCGGTTCACTTTTCAAACTGTTGCCACCAAATGTTAGAGTCCTGCATTATATTTGAAGAAATTAAGTAATGAAAAATCTGCATAAATGTATGTATATTTCTCGCATTGTGATAAAACAACGGTATCTAGAACCATCCAAATTTGAATGACGTAATCCTACTGCGAATATGGGCATTTGAAAGTTGGAATTCGATTTCATATTTTGTAAAACTTTAAAGAATTTTCGGGTAACAAACTCAACTGTGTAAAAGCGAGCAATTGCAATACGCTACGGGGGAAAAAAACCTTTTTATCTCCAGCGCGCGGAACTGTGTATCGGAAAATCTAAAGATTGGCTCATTTTAAAATTATTTTTGCGACATTGCTATTGAACTAAATTTTATGGTTTAAGTTCAAAGAACGTGATATTTAATAATAAAAGATAACACGCAAAATGTTAAAAAGTTAACAAAACGCCCCTTTGGATGTAATTTAATATGAAACATTTCAGATTATTTTTTTCTCAATAAATTTTATCTTATTATTCACCAAAAGTAATTTTGGCTGATTTTGTCCCTCAGCGAAAAAAGAGATTGTCGACGCGTGACTTAAACTCTACGCTTCCTACACTAAACATAACAGAATATTCAATTCTAGCCCTGGAAAGATTAGCAAACTTCCTAGCAGTGAAAGAGAAAACATGATTTTGAAGTGATAAAGTTTACTCTTTACAAAGATTATTGCCTCGATGCTTTAGACCAAAGGTTTTTCCATTCTTCTTGAAGAGACATAAAACCACCGGCATAGATCTAGTTTCCGTGCACTGCTAATGATTACGTGCTAAATTTACCCACAAGAAGAGGAGGTTTTAGCTTCTAAGGTTTGTTTTTCTTGAGAAGTAAATCATAGGCAGATTTGTAAAGTTTCAGAAACGACCAGAAGAACTATATCCTCTCATTTAATTAAGTACTGTATATGAGATCCCAGTTTCTGAATATTCTTATAAAAGCTTGTTTCCAGTTGTTTTATGGTAAAGCTTTCTGAACGTTTCTTAGAAATCTCAGTGTCTGGATGCTTATGGATTGGAAATTCAAAACCGTATATTCTTTAAGAAAATTGTGAAAGTTTTAGTGCAGGTAAATAAATAATCATAAAAAGCACAGAAGGCGGTCATTCTTCTTTTAAAATAACGCATTACGTAAAGCAGTAAGAAAGATTAAATATTTAAAGGTGTATTTCGATACTAAAGTATGCATTTGCGTTATTATTCCATGCTTAAAACACATACATGCAGGGTGGTCATAAAAACACTTCCCGGAGACATAAACCACTAGCGACTTTTCCGCTAAATCAATCGAAATGAAATTTCAGATATTTGAAGCTGTGCACTAGCGATTGTAATGATTTAAAACAACACGGTAACGGTTTTCGCCGATAAGAGGAAGCTTTGCAAAATTGGTAATGATATATATAATGATAATTTTGATATCAAGGATTTTATATCTTTTGCACAAGATGACCTTAAATTTATTAACCGTTTGCGACACAGTGTATCCGGTCTGGACACACCTAAACACTTCCTTCTGTACGCGCAGAAAAATTGAATGAAAAAGGATTTGAAGGTTACTATAGGTTACTATGAACCTTCTTTATTTATAGTAGATGGACGCTGAACACAAACCAGCCCATATATTTTAACCATGCTTAGTTTTTCAAGACCTCAGTTTTCAAAGAAATCTTCTAGATTTTTGTTAGGGTATAAAAGGAATTGTTTGAAAAGAAATTTCTATGTTATTTTTTGGCTGCATACTAATCTCCTTATTCTATATTAGTTTTAAATTTTTACCTTGAAATCTTGCCTAAATCAAACCCTAGGTGTGCCCAGACCGGGCTCACCGATAATCTAGGACAACTGGAGAATCTGTACTCTTTGTTTCTCTGCATCTTCTCATCGGTTAGCTCATTGACAACAATGCTCATTTCAGCACTCTTTTCGAAGCTCTATTCAATCAGTGTGCCACTTTGGGCACACCCACAGAATTAAAACGATAAGTGCTATCTTCAAAAAATTTTACTTGTGTACTCCTCTAGGCCTAATTAGACTGCCTGTCTTTTTTTCTATTCTATATCCTATATATATATATATATATATATATATCAAAATTCCGAACTTTAAAAGATAGCGTGCCGGAAAGGGTTAATGAAAATCGAGGTGTGTAATTAGAATTCTGATCTGATGTTGTCCTTTGTGTTAATTTTTGTTTGTATGTTCGTGAGTGCTTGTTATATGTTTTTCCCTATTTTTGTTTTATATTTGAGTATTATTTATATCTTATTTATATTGTGTATCATGTATTATTTATTTCGTATCTGATGTTATTTTGGGGTCACTCTTTCTTTTTTGACCATGAGGCCATTTCGTGGCCCGGAGGGTGTGACTTTATCCCCAATGTATTACAATGTACGACGGTAACGGTTACAGTGAAACATTTCGAAGTTTTTGAACGGCAACACCCATTCTCTTCGGAGAAAAGTGATCTGTGCGATACATGCATGACAAATATTTTTAGCATAAAACATTTGAAAAGAAGAGCATTGTAAAAGTCCAATGACAACACAAGAGAGGAGAGGAGGAAACTTTCATTTGAACTCATAAGTTTTCAACGGGTACAAAGTTTCAAGATAGAGTCATTTCTCACAACGCTGTAGTTTCGTGGCCATCGCGATCATACGATTTCCCTCCAATGGATTTAGGTTTCTGGGTTTGGCTGAAATATAAGATATACACATCAGTCCCACGAAACATGTCAGAATTCAAAGACGAATTTGCATTGAATCACTATCACCGTTCCACTTTTCAAACTGTTGCCACCAAATGTTAGAGTCGTGCATTATATTTGGAGAAATTAAATAATGTAAACTCTGAATGACGTAATCCTCCTACGAATATGGGCATGTGGAAGACCAAATTTGAAATTTGGAATTTGTTTTGTGATCGATTTCTTATTTTGTAGAACTTTAACGAATTTTTGATTAACAAACTCAAGAATTTCAAAGCGAGGAATGGCAAAACTCTACGGGGGGAGCACGGAAGTGTGTATTCGAAATTCTAAAGATATGCTGATTGAAAAACGTGTTTAGAAACCTCATACTATGTTAAAAATAATTGCTTTAAAATACTTTTTATGTTCTCGAATTTTTTCATATTATCATACAAGATGGTTGCACATAATATGCTAATCAAACAAGAGAAACATTCAGAATTTTTTTGGTAAAACCAAACGAATTTTAAATAAATAAAAAGGTCAAATATCTGTTCTTACTATATTTGGTAACTATGTTTGTTTACTTTTACCTTCTTTCCAATCTTTTAAAACCGTTTATATGCAGAGAATAAAACAACAGAGGCGCCATAGAATTGATTATAGCTATTGTCTACTTTCCCAACAAACTTAGAAATAAATCCACCAGCAAAACATCGATTCGCACAACTATCGGATACAAAAATGGGTTAAATAAAACTCTGGAAGGGACAATAAAAGTAAATTGAATCGAATGACCAGTTTGATTTGTTAAGTTACAACATCTCTTGTTATTTTCTGACACTGACAACGTAAAAGTATAAAAGGTAAAGGAGAATATTTTAATTAAAATGTCTTATGGCTTAAATTAAAAACTTAGGATATTTCTCGACAGGTAAGAATATTTGTATGATAATGAAGCAAAGTTAATATATTTGGGCTATTTTCAGAAATCCTACGAACATGAAAAATACTTATTACTCCCGTGTGAATCGGACACAGAACTAGTATTTGAATCAAATTATGATAAAGTTTTTATGTTCAGCAAAACATAATGTCACCTAGGTATACGTTATAATTCCGTTCCAGATTTTTGGATCTATACCATATTAGACGTCGTTGGCGATATAAACAGATAGTAATACACATTTTCACCTATTTTTCTGGAACTTAAAAAAATTCTAGATCTCAATATTGCTAATATATATATACTACTAAAAATCTTTAATTATAAAATTCTCAGAGCACATTTGAAAAATATATTATTAAAAAATCTTTAATAAGAATTACCGTTACATTAGAGAGTATTGCATATTATGACAGTTTGTAAAATTACACTCATGTCCATAAATTAAGGATTATTCGGAGTCACGCGGAAATCGAACTCTAAAATAAATATATCACCTGTAAAATCACTACACACATCTTCAAGAATCATATGCAAATTTCAGGAAGTAACCAGATAACACCGATGGTACGGCACAATGACGAGAGTGTAAGAGAGTGATATATAAGGAATACAGGCAAAGAAGTAAAATTGTTCGCAGGCGCTTTATAAGAATTTCAGTGCAATATCCGAATAGTTATGACACAAAGGACGCATTTGGATGATTTTAT